AACACTTTAGAAACAACATTCCTCCCTGTCCTAAAAGACCGTTGAGATCGCTTTAACGTTATTAGTTTCATATTTCAAGTTTTGATTATTATTATCATCTCAACAGCAACTTTTTTATCTGCAAATATACTAGAGAGAGCAGACCATATTTTTGTGCAAACTGCTTGTCAAAAGCTATTCTCGTTACCGAGTTATGATCAAAAGAAAAAGAGGATTGGGATGGGATGTAGGGAAGAAAACTACTGTAATTTCAATATCGTATACTTTCTTGATATGTACAACAGATAATTTTTCATTAATGCATATTAATAGAGTTAAAGTTAGATCCTTTAGTTCCGTATTTTAATTTTATTTTAATTTTAAATTTAACAAAAACAACAAACGTTTCGATCTCTTTTAATTGAGGTCTTCTTCAGTGTGCGTAATAAAATGTATAAAAATATAAAATATAAAATATAGTTAAAATTCTATTTCTTATAACGTGTGCAGACTTAAAATGTAGAGTAACTCGACCTTGAATAACACTTTGCTCGCCATCAACACAACTGTGGAATAATGAGCAATTTTGTATGCTCTAGTGGAAGTTCTTGAAGCCAATAAAGCAAGACCTTGGGATATTTCTTGGGCCTACAAACTATGCTGTTGCAAGAAGAATCATTCGTTTATTTTAATCAGTTCATTTTGCAAGAAAGCTTTGTAGTGCGAAGGAGAACACGACGTAATTTGTCATTCACAAGGCGATTAAAACTTTAAAACAAATACTTCGCAATCAAAAACTATTTTAATATGACACTTTTTGGATTTTTTATTGACAGAAATTAGTTTTTCAGGAAAAAATAAATCGAAGTTTTCCAGTTTAGTATCAATTAATTCTGCAGAAGTTTCATGATTTTGTTTCAGATCTAGAATGACATCATCAACATGTCTGTATAAGTATTCGTAATAAAACATATCGTATCCTAATATCCCTCGAAATCATCAAATTAGAGGATATCTTGCAAATACGTAGAACAACTAAGTATTGTAAACATCAATATCACATAGCGTCGATGCAAACAAACAAAATTGATGTTAAACGGTTGATGTAAAACAAAATTTAGTGATGTAAACAAGAGGGGCAGATATAGGGTACAAAGCATTTGATATACCCCTTTTTCAACGCAAAGGTCGTTTTTAAATCTCAAAACTTCCTTCGAAAGTCGGATTTGTCTTTAGAAGTTTTACAAAAAACTAAAATTACAAGAGACCTAATATATCTAACGAGGTTGATTCTGAAAAAGAAACAAGTTAATAATCCTTATGTATACCAGAATGTATTGTGAGAGCTTGTTTATGGAATCAGTCTACTGCGATTTCTGGGATACATTACCACGTGTCCTATAACATATGTTCTTCCATCTAAGTTCAAGTTGAGTGAGAGTGTTGTTTACTTTCAGTGCTTCTGATAGTGCTTCACATTCTCTCTCGGATATTTGGTTACCGTTTAACCATGTTAGAGAACTTTTTTCCGATTTTGAGGTCATATTCGGAAAGAGTATAAAAAGCTGAGTCGAGCCACGTATTTCACTCATGAGATCGAAACTTTATTTTCCCGTAATATTAGATCGAAGTGCCCAAAAAACGGTATTTTTCGCCGTTTTTTCAGTTTTTGACCTAAACAAATTACAGAACTGTGTTTTAATTTTTTATTTTGGCATGCTTTAGATAGGAAAATCAATTCTGAACGTGACTGAGTATATTTCAGTTTTTTGAAGGATATTAGTGAGTCGGTTGGCAACGAGAGCTAACGATAGTCGAAAATACCATCAAATAAAAAACAGGTGATTTGGTAAATGTTAGTAAGGTTTCAGGATTAAATGAAGCCGGTATTCGTAATCAGCGCAAAATTCCACGCCGAATGATGTATCTTTAGTTTAAAGTTGAGATACCAAAAATTTCGATGCTCCAAGGATGATAGGGTGAAAATTTTTCTTAAAAAACTGAATCGACTATTTTGTTTAGAATTCGATGCTGATTACAATCATGTGATGTTTTCGCCAAAAAAGTGTGACATGAAAAGTCACCTTACCTTATTGTTCTAAATCATTGTTTCGTCTTCTGAGTCATCATAGTTCTTAGTCAGATGTGAAATTTATCTATAATTAATTTATTAAGTAATTTATTTTATTATTATAAGATTATCTATATCCCGACAGAAAGTTTCTATTAAACATATCAGTGTTATTCCTGCAGAAATGACCACTAAATTTAAATGAGTATATGGTAGAATATCAAATGTCCATAAAACAATAATAAATAAAAATTGACTTAGTAGATTGGCTAACGTACCTTCAAATGATCGTTTTGTATTGGGCCATTTATGTTTTCCAATTTTGGAGCCAAAAATTGATGCACAAGAATTCCCAATTCCTATTGTTACTATGTCACTTAATTGTGCTAAATATCTACCATCATCAGCTAACCATAGAGAATATGATAGACCAATAATAAGAAATATATGTGGTACCGTGAATAAACTAGAAAGATCTTTTTCATCTTCATACAGAGACCATGCCGATTGAATTAATTGTCCAAGAAGATAAATTTGTTTAATCTTAATACATTCGAGAATTATTAACAATACAATAAACGCTACACCGCAGATTGTTAACAATTTTGTATCATAAAAAATTCCAGTTAGATAAACAATACACGATAAAAACGAAAATATTTTCGTACAATTGAACGATAGTTATTAGTGATAGAAATATGATAAATAAAACTAATCTTAACAACGCCTAATGAAAGCAGCGAAATTATAAACCAAAAATAATAGCAGATAAATCTAAAATAACCAAATCTACATTCAAAACGAACGATAAAAAAAAAGACTTTTTTGTCTTAAAACTTGACGTTATATTGCTACTTTTTAATGATTTTTTTCTTCTTGAAAATCTATATATTTACTTACTCGACATGGTTTGGCACTAATAAAATAAAATAGCCACAAAAATGGATTTTCATTTACTAATGAAAATGAAAGTGGAATAAATCCAAAAATAAATAATAATAGAAAAGTGATGTAAAACTGAACGGTCGAACGAGGTAGCATAATTTGTAATAGGCCAAACACCGTTAAGCTTTCACACATGAGAATATAACTGTCAACTGGTTAGCTTAAAATATTGATTACTCCAAAATGAGATAACCAATGGATGACAATAGTTAGAAAAAATGCATTTAAACCCATCGATATTAATAACCATTCGAGAAATGAAAATGTCTTTAAAAATATCAATGGACCCTTGGAGAATATGATTCGATTAAATAGAATAGACAATATTAACACGAAACATAAACTAAAATAGTCATAATAGAATAGTAAAGAGAGCATGATAGAATTTAAAACAAAGATAAAATAATAAATAAATGAAAATTTTTTAGCAAAGAGAGTCATTGTTAAAGATAAAATAAGAATATTTTGAAGAAATATAAATTGGCACAGTTCATTGTTTGTTTTTAAATAAATTATATACCAATTTAATAGAAAACACGTTAAAACAATTAAACATTGCACATCGATTGATTTATAAGATGTACCGTCACGAAACTGATACATTTTTTTCTTTATCTATCTGGAATAAAACAATAAAATTATCATGTTCTTCGACTTTTCGTTATAATTTTGAATAGTACCTTAAGAAACTGAAATTTTGTCTTGTGCGTCGTATCGTACTATTATATTTCAGTTAAAAAAAATCTGTTGCAAAGAAATGGTCCATGACTACGCCACTATTGTTGTGTTAGTAGGTTATGAAAGGCTACAGTAGTTCATAACATAAAATACCTATGTATCATTCCGTTTCACCACCACAACCCATCCATTTGGACTTTTGTATAACGGATACTGTGCTAGTACAAATTCTACTGGTGTTCAAGAGAAACGGACGATGTTCATAAATTAAATTTTATCGATATTTTGAAAATATATATCACAACATAATACGAGAATAATCCCTATCTTCTGTATATTGGACGTTGTTTACTGTAAATCTAATCAAAATCATTTCGTAATACATGTTAGAAATCGCATTAGACTGATTTCATAAACAAGCTTTCACAATACATTGGAATGTAGATAAGGATTATTAAACTTGTTTCTTTTTTAGAATCAACCTCATTAAATATATTAGGTCTCTTGTAATTTTTCTTTTTTTGTAAAACTTCTAAAGACAAATCCGACTTTCGAAGGAAATGGAAGTTTTGAGATTTAAAAACGACCTTTGCGTTGAAAAAGAGGTATATCAAATGCTTTGTACCCTGCATCCGCACCTCCTGTTTACATCACTAAATTTTGTTTTACATCAGCAGTTTAACATCAATTTTGTTTGTTTACATCAACGCATTTTGAGTCTATGTGCTGTTTACATCACCCAAATTTTCTTTATTTCAATTTATTCTTTTGTTTGTTTTTCTCATACATACGTACACAATAAAAGTAATTTTCTCCAAAATGAACAGAACAAAAATAAACAAAAGAAGATGGAATGAAAATGCAAAACAAAAAACCAGATACAAGAATAAAAAGAGAGGAAAAGCATCCGCACACTCACATACATACACAAGAACACACACATATAGAGAAAGAGAGAGAAAGAAAAAACAGGTACTGATAAAAAGAGAAGTAACAGTTTTGTACAACGTTCTATTTATTTCTTCGTTATAAGGAAGCAAAGGTGGGACGCTTTAAAAAAAAAAGAAAATTTCAAGGGCTTTTTGTTTGTTTGATTTTACATTAGTTTTCGGCACCGGGTATCTGCTCGAAGCCTTAGGATTATGATGATAAAGAATGAATTAAACGTTTTCTTCTCTCACAGTATGTTGAAAATAAAAATAAACAGATGTTAACTATGTAGACAAATGATGATTTTCAATTTGCTAAGCAAAACGAAAAAGAAAGTAAGAAAATATCACATTTACAAAGAAATGGATTGCGGTTTATTCTTTTTTCTAGTAAAAACTTATACAACAAACATTTGCGGTACATATAAGTCATTATCGACATCATCCATATTTGTATTTAATGTTAATTGTTCGGACATTGGATTATCATTATCACTATAGGAGACGGCAAATAAACGACGCTAAAAAATAAAGAAAAATAGTTATTCAGTGTTCTCAGTTAACAGCTTGTGACGTTGTATAAAGCGTCAATTACTCTCCGTTACCTTTTTAGCATCATTTTCTATTGTGTCGTAATCATAAATATCTGATGTTAATTGATTTATATCGTCAGTACTGTATAAATCTAATGCTGAACAATGTTCATTCGTTGTTGGTTGCTGTTGCTGCTGCTGTTGTTGTTGTTGTTGTTGTTGTTGCATGCTGGCTGGCAATACATCATTGGCTGAACGTATTATATAGGGCAATTCAATTAAACCATTTTTGCCTTTATTTGTTGTTACCAGGGTACGCCGAACAATTGGACGCAATTTATACAATGGAGGCTAAAACAAAAATGAGAGAGTAAATCTATCTTCTTTCTACAAGGAAAAAAATAACTCAACATACTTCCGGTGCACCAGCTGTGATACATTTTGGACATAGCCATGTTTCTGGTATATCATCACTAAACACACCCTCATTCGGTACATCACAATGGGTGTTCTAGTAAAGAAACAAAACAAAATGAATTATGATGCTATCAGAAATTGAAACATGTCAATAGTAACATACATGGAAACAGGGTAAATGATGAATTTCCATGCATCTTTCACATTCATATAAAACTTCTTCGGCTTTCAACTGTGATAATTTTCTTGAACCTTTTTTCTTTGAACATACTTGACATGAGGCTGTTGAAGGTAATATTGGCTAAATATCAACGAATTTGTGAAGAAGACAAAGACAATAGTGAATTATCAATTAGATTTGTACATACGGCAATACATTGTTTATTCATACAACATTGTTTCATTTTTCCAACGCCACCAAACTTGGGCATATCTTTACAATGAACACATTCACCACAATCATCACGTGTACAAGGTTCACACATTTTACATCTAAATCAACAAACAAAACGATTTATATTGGCACATGAGTTCTTAGTCTAAACAGATAGTATGAGTCTGATATTTTACCTGACTCTTTTATGTCTGTCTTTTCCAGCTATCGATTTGTCAGTATAATTTTGGTTCGTGGCTGATGTCGGCGAAGGTAATGGTAGCTGTTGTTGTGGTTGTTGCTGCTGTTGTGACTGCTGATGATGTAATCCATTTGATATTTGATTTGTACCGTTCATATGATTTGGTTGATTAAAATGATTGTAATGTACTCCATTCTGTTGAATATGATGTGAATGGTGATAATTGTTCATTGAGGCATAATGCTGTTGTTGTTGTTGTTGTTGTTGCGGATAATAATTAATAATGCTTGATGATGGAGACGAAGAAGAGGATTGAGATGGATTCGTTGCTCCAGCTAGAGGTTGTGATAGCATTATTGTTGAACACGGTTGTAATGTGACAATATTTGTCGTCAAAGAAGCGTTTCCTAAAAACGAGAAAAAAAAGCATATTCTAATAAGACTTTGTTTTTACAAAAAATACTATTACCTTGATACTGCTGCATTTGAGCTTGAAATTGATGATGCTGATTGTGAGAATTTTGATGTAAATAATGTTGGTCATAATGGGGATGCATGGGACTTTGCTGCTGCTGTTGTAGTTGTTTTGTCGAATTAGCGTTCGGTGATATTGAACAATTAGAATTTGTTGGTGAATGATTTATTTTACGCTTTATACCCCGATTTTTATTATTTAGACCCTATAAATAAAATGAAGATATTTTTAAAGTTGTAATTGCTGACTCTACGACATACTACATGAATCAGTACAGGGAACGAAGTATTATACTATCTTTATTTCTGATGTTCGATAAGAGTACATATCTAACTCCTACCAGATAAAAGGTAGTTATAAATCATAATGATGTGATTTTAACACACTGGGTCATCTATTGTGAATATCATTAGTAAAAACTGGCTTACAGATACATTACTTTTTTTCTCCTATTTGTTGGTCTAACTTTGCTTAAATAATACTGTAAAATGATGACTATTAGAAGTAGTAAATCAATTTTAAATGAAAACAAGGACAATAATTTTATCAAATGAGTACTATTCTAAATACAAAAATAGTGAAATGGTATAAAATAGACATACATATACCAAGTTCATTCGAACTATTTATTGAAAAGGACGACGATTGAAAAAAATATCATAATAAAATACATCTGTTATGTTGATGTTGTTATATAAGAGACAAATCATAGTATTATAGTAGATCTAAGGATCTTATTTGTAAACATGGTGTTAATTGTGTCATAGTTAATAGTGACTTTTATATAAAAATCTCTCTCTCCATATATATATATATATGTATAGTTTATTTTGAGCTCCGACGATAGATAAATGACTTTCTCTTTACCTTCTAATGAGTGTAGAGAGGATTATACTTATTGTTTAACTCTTTCTCCCTCTTTTTCTACTGTCTATACATAATAATATACATTCACACAAGTCAGGTACATAACAACAAAACATTTAATTAAATTAAATAATAATTTGTTGAATAAGTCAGAAACTTTGAGGATAAACCATAAAATTTTATTTTAAAAGATCCATTGACCTTCTGATTACATCTTACAAAGTCAACTGATTTCTAAAAAATAGTTTATAATTATTCATATACATGCTCATTCATATTTTTGAAAATTATATTCTTTTTAACAAATTACTCAAGTGTGTAGAGATGCTGAGAGACTGGATAGTGTAACAATACACCAATACAATCGTGAGTGTATAACAATATTTTCTGTTCGCAATAGTTTTTACGAGAAATCAGAATGAATAATATACCAGTATGATAATTATTACAAAAATTGATGAACCTAATGTTAAAGAGAACTTTTCATTGTGACCGAGATCTGGTAAAGATCAACTCTGTTGTTTAGTCACTGTATCTGGGTATATCTAAAACCATCACACGAGTATATGTGCTATTTCTTACATATCGGAGTTGAAATCGGTAAACGTCTTTCCCAACCGATTCGATTTGTATACAGTGTAAATTTTAGCCGTTCTACAAAGATGTTTTTTAAACTGATGAAAAATCGTCCCTGAGATAATATATTCTCATTCATGTTGTTCATACACCGATGCAGAAAAACATTGAAAGATTTTGAGCAGTGTCAAATTTTTATTCTGCTAAAACATGACTGTTTTGTACTTTTCTTCCATTTACCGACTTTGAAAAATATATGAGAAAAATCAAGTAATTTGTATAAAAAACTAAACCAACAGAGTATCCGTTGCTATTGGACTGGTTAAATACTGATACCGATCGGTACGATTTTAACTTTTTTTCTAAAGGAACAGTATCATAAGGATAGCAGTGCGCTTTTTTTCTATTATATTCTACAACAGTCTATTTTTTACATCTTCGTATTGTCGAATAAAGTTAAAGTTCAAATTCTATCCCGTACAACCATACAATGTGAATAAATGAGAACTATGTAGAAGATAATTGATAATTGAAAACAGTGTGTATAATTACCTGAATCGAATCAATTTGATGAATAATTGAATGTCCAGTTATAGACAATGTTGAATTATCGGATTCATGTTCATTGAGTAAACGCTTTAAAACAAAAAGAAGAGAAAATAAATGAATAAAATTTTTTTCTTACGTCATATATATATTCTACAAGGTCAAAATATGATAAAATTCCAAAATGAAAAATTGACCTTCTCATATTTTCTTCGTTTTTTGACCAACATCATCCTCATCATCGTCATTTATTTTATTAGAGAAATTATTTCTTTGTTCTTTTTTATTTTAACAAAAAGTCATTTTTATTTGCAATAATGTTGTGTATGTGTAAACAGTATGAACACAAAGAGATGAATAAATTCTTCACTATTTTTTTTTTAATATATAATAGGTGAAAAATTTTTTTTTTTTTTACCTCCATCGATTCAAGAAGCACCAACGGTTGAACAATATCGTCTGGTGATGATGATTTTTCTTTCAATTTTTTTAATAATGTACATAATGAATGTAAACCTTCTTTTTCATAAGGAGTTAAATGTTGCCATGTTGTGGATGATGGTTCAAATGTTTTACAAGGTTTCAAATCTAAACAAATAAGAAAAAAAAAATGTTTATTACTTATGAAAATAATACATGATTGGATAATATCAAATAAAATGAACAAAAATAAGAAATATTTTATAGTCATCTTTTAAATTCTATATTAAAACTCGTTTTCTAAGAGATAATGAATTAATTCAAAGTTGACACAGTGAAATAGTGAGAAATGCTCCCATATCCATTTCAATTCTCCATTCAATTTAAGATGACAAATCAAAGCCTTTTCAAAGTTTTTTCTCTTAAAGAGAGTTCATTTTTTTAGTAAGTAGTGTGTTCAAACTTTTTAAACATGTTTTTTTAATTGTCTACAGTTGATCAATAGTTCTTTTTAATACTAAAGTAAATTGAACAGTATATATCAATCTTCTGATACCCAATATCATTAGTATTCAAGAGAGCAGTATCAATAAGAAGTAAGTACAATTATTTTTTTTTTTTTAATTTTTAAAATAACAGAAATATTTTCAAAATGATATTTCCATTTTGTAAATAAATCGATTTAACAATGGTATACACTCTTCTCGTATTCTTAAACTACACCTATAGAAACTTGATATCTCTTTTTTAAAAGTGAATATTACGTTTTTTTTTCAATAGACAATTTCCTCTTTATTATCGATTATTATCAATGATCGTTGCCGTCATCAAATGGATGTTTCTGTTAAGAAAGGTTAAGAAAGAAAAACTTACAAGTAACAATAGATATTATAGAGAGAATACATGGAAAACAAGAAAGAATGAGAAAAAAAAATGTTTTCTTTTTGTTCTCAATAAAACAACATTTCAATATTATTATCCAGACACAGTTCATATCTGAGTAGTAAGTAGTAGATATGATAAAAAAAAATAAAAAATAAAGTTCTAACGCCCCAACTTCTCTCATCCTTTTTTTCACCCTAAAAAATAATAATATGAAGGGAAAAATCAGCAATATGTTAAAAAAAGAATCTCTTAGGCAATAGTGAGAAAGAGAGAAAAGGAAAACGATTCTACTTTGAATCAATGCTCAAACTCAAACTTAATTAAGTACTTGAATTGGAAAAATTTCTTGCAATATCCTTTAACATACAAATATATGTTGATTATTTCTCTATTTTCAATATGAAACAGAGATTTTAGAGCGAATAACAGGTACATTATTGATATTCAAAAAATTATTTCATTCTCTTGATTTGAAAATGTTTTTTTCTATATCTATTTCAATTGAAATCTATTGTTTTACTAAAGAGGAATAGATTTTTGTTCTTTATCTGAATATTTAATGATAGATGCACTAAAAAAACAAAAACAAATGAATTTACATAGAGTTTTTGTTTTAAAAATAGAGACAAAAAAAATTTATAATAAATTCTTAGATTTTGAAAAAAGTGAAATAGTCTAAGAACAATAATATTGATCGATATATCAACAATCAAAATTGAATATTACTAAATTATAGAAACAATAAATTCTTTATATAATTCAAATCTCGAAATAAAAAATACTATGACATAACTGACTTCTTTTATTATTTAGAATAAAATGACACTTGTTACGTCAAGGTTGATTAAATCTAAAATATCATTATCTCAGTTAAATGATAAAAGACAACAAGTATAGATACAATATAAAATTTAAACATATGACAACAAAATTTTTAAAGTACTTTTTTTTTCCGTCTTCTTCTTCTTCTTTATCTTATTTCTAATGTAATATAAATCACCTCTATACAAATTACAATTGGATAAATATCTTGAACGAATATTTCAATAAGATTAACATTAAGCAGTTCGTTATTTAAGAAGTTTACTTATGTAAATAATCAATAATATATACTATATTTTTAGTCTTATCAAACAGTGTATGTTTATTTTTTTTTTGGAAAATATCAATGTGAAAAAAAAAACTGTGTACAGTTAACGATAATAAAGTATGATTCAAACTGTTTTCTTTATCCTAAAATTTTGTTATAATCAAAAAGAATCACCTTTTTTTTGTTAAAAAAACAAAAAGAGTGAGAGTAGACACTAATTTGAAGAGATTATCTAACAGTATGATACAAGTGAGAAGCTCATTGAGTTCAAGTTCATTGAAGTGTTTAGAAAAATAATAATAAGACAACAGAAAACAAAAATTGGAGAAGATTTTTTTTTCTACTTCATTCATTCATAATAAAAAAGAAGAAAACAAAAAAAAAAAAAAAGTTTCTTTTTTTTGTTCAAAAAAAAATACAAATAAAAATAAACGTAGATGGATGATTTAGGCTAGAACACGTAGAAACAGTGGTTTCTCTTTTCCTTTTTTATTTCCTTCTTTTTTTTCGTGTAAATCGAATTTCTTGACACAAGAAAACAATAAAAAAATGTATTATAGACTAAAATGGATAGATTTTTTCCGTTTCTTTTGTCCTATATGATGTCTCAATGGAAATCGAAAAGAATGCACCCACATTTAACGTGAAAGAAAAAACTGGTTGACCATCAATACAAACAGACTAGAGATTGATATTGTTCTTGAAAAGCTCTTAATCATTGAGAAAAAGAAAATCAATCAGTTGATGATGTAAGAAGGGTAAGTATAACTCTAATATAAACTAACTGAAACATTATCAAGTTTATAACAAGTGCACTAACAGTCTGTTAACCTAATAAATAGGAATATTTCTGATTTTTCTTCTTTTTTTTTCTATTGCAATAGTTTGTTGTCAAGTTGGTTATATTAAAACTAGGACAAAATATGATAACAATTTTTATATAGAATTTAAGAAATCATAGTCATTTTTCATAAAGTTCAATAATAGAATAGTATATATGCCTATAATCGAATATTGTTAAGATTAGAAATTTCATCAATTCATCACATTTTGTTTTTTTTTGTCTTATAAAAATTTAGAGATTCATTATTGTCTAATAAAGTCACATTTTTCAAATGTTGTGATATATCAATGATTTTCTATTCAACTTAACGAAAAAAAAAATCAAATTTAATTTTTTTTTAAATAGTATCATAGTATCTTCTCACTGCTAATTATCTCATTTCAAATAAGAATTAGTCATTCGATATAAAACTGTCATTATTAGAAGATATTTACCTTGAAAACGTTTTTTTTTTTTATGTATCTAGTATTAAAAACATCTTCTAAAAATCGTTTGTTCTATTAAAAAGTTTTTGATAAGAGCCACCTCCGAATAAAAACAATATCTTATAAAGTAATATGGTAAGCTGTTGTTCTATACATTGAGATTTTCTTTTTTCCCAATTAAAATTACATGAAAAAAAAGCAGAAAAAGAAAAAGAAGAAGAAGAAGAGAAGAAGAACAAAAAAATCGCAAGAAATATATATATATTGAATGAAAGAGAAAATTTTTTTATATTTAAATGCACAAATATATATATATGTTCATAAACAATCATATATGCAAAGAAAAAAAAAAAAGGAAAGAAAAGATTTAAGTAATTTGCACTATAGACATTTTTTTCCATCTTCTTATGTGTCCCGTATATATATATATATAACTGATCAACGAAGAAGGAAAATGAAAATGAACAAAGAAAAATTACTGTTATTATTATTACTGTTATAGAACAAAAGAGGAAAAGAATGATGAACATTGCACAATATAATAGTGATTGACGAAAGAATTAAAAAAGAAAAAAAATATCCATAATTTTTCTTTTTTTTTTAATGATCAATTTACCACTCATACTTCTACAGGTTTTTTATGTTCCTTTTCTCCCTCTCTCTTTTTCTTTTATGAAAATCAGCTTCAGATATATATATATATATATCTATATATATATATAACAGAACTTTCATTAAATTCATTTGGGAAAAATATTTTTGACAATAGTTAACAACAAGACTTATAATTCTTTTTGAAAAAAAAATAAAATGAATGTTCTAATTACAGTTTTATTTGACCAATATTGACTTATTTTTAACGATCTATTCTTCACTGACTATTCATAGTGAAGATTATAGAAAATATTTGAATATTTTATAGAGCAAAAAGAAAAAATATTTCAAAAATCTTAACATCGGATCAGGTCAATCAATAGTTTTTATTTATAATGTTGGAGATTTTATTTCTCTAATCATATTTTTCTATTTTATGAAGTTTAAAAGTCAAATCATTTTGAATTGTTTTTAACTAAAACATGATTATTAACAAATTTAAATTATTCCAATTAAAATATCGGGAAAAAACAAAAGAAAGAAGAGAAATCCTATAAATAGAGTGTGTGATATGAAAAGTAAATAGTCATTTGTTCATCTTTATCAAACTTTCTCTTATACTATCTTAAAAGAACTATATTTGTATCGATTCGATCTCTACACCATTATCGTTCAGTGAACAAAAAAAAATTGTTGAATTTTAAGTTAAAATACAATTGATCAATAAACAAATTGAATTTTTAATTCTAATCAATAAAGAAAAGAAAAAAAAAATCGTTCTCGTCAAACATTATTGACATTTACTCTTCTCAAAAAAAACTGAAGAAAAAACAAAAAGGAGATACAGTTTCATTAATAATTAACATTGTTGATAACAACGGGACACACAAAAGAAGGATAATACTACACACAAAGAGGGGAAAAAAAAAAGAAGAAAACGTTTTTAATTTACTTCCATTATTTTTTTATTAATTAGCAAATAGAGTCTTAACAAGTTCTATTTCTACAAAAGAAAATCTGTATGTTCAATCGTTTGTTCTAGCTATGCGCTCTTTCTTCTTCTTCTTCTTCTCTTTTATTTATCTTTTTCTTTTTTTTCTTCTTTTTTTTTTTTTGTTTTCTTTTCAGTTATCATATATTTTTTTTCCTGTTCTTTATTCTTTGCTGGTGCTGATGGTGGATGTTGCATGGAATATATATATTTGATTTGACATCATTTACTTTTAATCGAATCGATTTGTTTGATCAAATGAAATGAGTTGTTCTTCACATCATCATTTTTTTTCTCTCTCTCTCTTCTTTTTCTGGTTTTTTTTTTGTTTCACTCACAAAAAATAAAGTTCAAAAAAATAAAAAATAAAATTTGATAATGAACAAACGATTCATCATAGAATTGAAGAGAAAAAACAAAAGTTTGAATGCTAAGTAATCCT